GCCAACAATTAAAAACAACTTTTCATTTAAACCTTGAACTCTTCAACAGTATGTAACTATAATCACTTTCCAAGTCGAATTTACATTTATGAGCCGTATTTGAGATGTCCTTTTAACTTTCTTTTATTATAGCTATTATTTTGTCTCAGAGTTGTACGGTTCTTCACAAAAATCCTGGGAAAAAATTTTTTTGTACAAATAGATTTGTTCAAAACTCAGTCAGTATCCAGGTCTAAAGCTTGTGTATTCATCCACACATTCCATCCGCAAACACACACTGGCTAACACACCCATGCATTCTCAACCACCCACGCTGACTCACTAATTTCATCGTTCACAATCAGTGCACAATCTTTCTCAAAAAATATGACACAATCAAGAAGGAAAAAGGTATTATACTTTGCATTAACCGTTTGGCAGTGCATTATTTGGTTTGGTTGAAAAATATTAATATTGAGTAGTACAAATTTTCAATGACAATCAAATACAAGAATAAGAGTATCAACAAACTTTTTTACAAACTTTTGAACTATTTTTATAAATATGCATAAGCTCTGAGCACAACACTTGTGAATCGCAACAAATAAAAAAAATTGAACATTGAACAAACTTCAGGGTCACGGGTATCAAACATCCAAAGAAACGGCTTTGTTTACATATATATATATATATATATATATATATATATATATATATATATATATATATATATATATATATATATATATATATATATATATAGATAGATAGATAGATAGATAGATAAAGAATAAAGGATTTCCTTTAGTCATTTTTGTGCACCTATCGATGCATCTAGTCGTCTACTGTCCTGTATATATACAGTTCCCTCTAAAGGACGACTTGAGTCGAATATCTGTATTCATATAACTGATCCATACTGGTTCCCAAGTAATATTTTACAATAGACCATCTTTAAAACCAATAAAAACAAGTGGTAACGAAAATAAGTCATTTGAGTCGTGGTAAGATTCAGCTGACCTACTTCTCAGTGACTGGTCTTGATTTGGTGGCAGATTTCTTTTATTTATAGCCCTTATATGTTACAGATCACAACCTGTTTCTCAGCTGGCTAGATGGGTAGATAGACTACAATAAAAGTTATAGACAGACCACAGTTCCGGATTCTTAAACGCACTTTGATTTGAAAAATAATGGATTGGACTGTATGATTTGCAAATTCAAAAAGAAAACAGATAGATCATCAAAATATCAGATATGGCATCGGTTATTAGGCTTTTATTTCTCGACATCCAAAAGTAACTTATGCTGGCAAGTGCAAAATCCTGATCGAATTCCTAGCCAATAGTTACCGCAACGCAGGGGCAACAAGCTGAATGCCATGATCTTAGGTTCGCTTATCAACAGCGCCCCACGTATATTGGATTTGTAACTTTTGTACAAGATGATTCTCAATCAGTTATTTGCAAACTTTTGTAAGTTTACATGAGTTAAGTCAGGGATGAAGAGACTGAGCTAGGAATTTTTGTTGTAAACTGAAAGTGCGTAGAAAATCGCTTAGGCGGTGGATAGAGCGTAACTCTTGATTACCAGCCAAAACTCAACCCTTTTACCCTTTTCTATCATTCAGACATGAAACACAACCTTAGTCAACAGACTTAAGTGACTATCAAGGGCTTGACAGCAACACTTTCCGCCACCAAGCAACCCATTGCATAACGTAATTCCCCAAAATTTCATGGGTTAGATTCAGTTCTATTCAACTTCACCGCCTTTAAAACACCAAAATTTTAGGTTCCCCACAAGCCAGGAAGGAAAATAAGTTGACCGTAGGTAAAGGAATTCAAATAAGGAAGATCAATATATAATTAAAAATAAATTGCAAAATAAATGGGAGCTTCTTTTGAGTGAAACCTAGCAGATATCGGTCAAAACGTCAAAGAATATATGATGTAGCATGAGTGGCCGTGGTGCTTTACCCTGTAGGGGTATAAAGACATATTATATCCTTTAATTAGGCTATTCCGAGTACATTTTATGAACCAGGTGGTGGCACACATTATTACTTTGGATTTCAAAAGTGTTCATATACTATGGCAAAACGCATCACCATCCATAAGAAAAATAAGATTAAAAGTTTTAATAGTTAGCTTTTTTCTTTGGCAGATGCTAACTCGCATAGGGTTTTAGAGTTCAGACTGAGATAGCGGTTTGCATAGTATGATATGGGAAGCAAGTTAGTCCTCATAATTTTTTTCTGTAATGGTTAGTGCACCCAACTTGTTAGAATTCGGTCAATATTATTGTAGACACAAAAGTAATATGAAAAATGAAAAACACCAACTGAGTTTGTTATGTTAAATTCTTCATATTTCATGACGAAACAGATGTCTGTTAAGGCATTTGCTTCGAAATAGTGTAAACTATGGAAGTTGATGAGGAAGTGCATTTTATTTTTAAGCATGTCTGATCGGACTTCTAAAAATTAGCGGAAGCAACCTGAGTTCCAGCTGTTCACTTATGTTTCTTACTTTGAATCTCTTTTCCTTTGAACATAAAAATGCCAAACAAACAAATTAACTCGATCTACATTTTGCTTTGCGTGAAATGATACCCGAAGTATTTTTAGTCAGTCACGAATCTCTTTGCTGTGCACAGTTGGGGCTTAAAACAAAACTCGATGTAGAATTTAGTGTGAAATTTAACAGCACAAAAGTAAAAACATATAAACAATAGGCCCCAATTCTAAGGTAAAAAATTTCCTTAATACTAGAGTAGAGTTTAAGTACTACGGTAGATTATAATTTCATTATGGCCATTACTAAGCCTCTCATATGTTAAAAAAATATTGCTTACTGGTAGCCTTTTGAGCAGAATTTATCTCTTGCAATCACGTCCTCATGTGAGACTTAAAAGATCTTCAGTGGAAAATCTTCATTTTTAGGAAAGGTACAAAGTTATATTGTGGTTAAATAAAAACGTAAAACCGCCAACCTTAAGGAAACAATAACGAGAAAGTCACTTGGATGTGCTGAGTGATAAATTGTTTTGCAAACAAACATGGTAGTCAGCAGCGCAACAACTCAAGTATCATTGAAAGAAAACAAGAAGGATGTGACTCTCTGAATAGCCCACAACAGTTCATACCTTTTCCAAAGTGACAGGGATTATTTTTGAATCATTAAATAAAATATCTTAAAAAAGTAAAAACCAGGCTTCATATCTATCTTTTTATGCCATTTGCTTAACTCACAAGACTTTCTATGTCAGAATTTTGTGTCGTTGGGAAAACTAAGAGTGAAATAGCGAAATTACATAGGTCATATTTGTCAAGATGCAAACGTTACTGGTCATATGATTTCGTGATTGCTGCGTCAAATAAGTTCATGAATTCAATAAAGCACAGCCATAAGCATTAGACTTTTATGCTGAATTTTATGGTTTATCACACTTGTCTCGTTGAAGTGACAGAGTCAAGTATACTCGCTATTGCGCCAGTTATCGTATTATGCTAACTTCTTACTCACGATCTCTTGAACACTTCTCCCACATACTCACTAATATTTGCGCCAGTGAATAAATACAATAATTCTTCTACTTGTCTCAGACGAACACCATCTATTTAGGTGATGTGCTAAATTTATAAATAGGGAATTGTCGTACATAGTGCATTTAAAACATAATCCTCGCCATAGATTCTCGAAAAAATTATTACTTCTAATAGCTGGAAAAACGATAGTAACCCTATTTCTACGTCACAACTTTATGATTCCTATTGTATCAATAAACACAAACGAGGAAATATTTCCTCATTAAATGTTTTTACTAGAATGAACATTGCTTAGTTGATGCTCCAAAAAAAGTGGAAAAATTCTGCAAGTCAAATAAATTTTGTGCTAGAAATCCATTGTTTTAGTAACAGAAACTCACATCCTAAATTATTTACGTGGTTTTAGATAAATTACAATATAAAGTTGACAGGCGTACCTTCTGTGTTATGCTCTGAAGGGTAAGGTCTTTTCTGCTGAATATCCAGCATATCAACTGTTATCGTTTTTTGTGCTGATGCAGCCGAAAAACAGTTGCTACAACTGGTATAGTCCACTCATATGTCGCTATTGTGTAGTGAGTTTTTGAAAAATGGAATGTTTAATTAGTTCATTATAATGACACACTAAAACAAATAAGAAATCAAATCATATTCAGATTTGTTATTTGAGGATAAAAAGCTACAAGCCGACAATAATTGGCACCAAAGTACTATCACGTCTAAAGTATCTAAATATTATGTACTCAGCAGCGTAGGCACCATTTACTGTCTTCAGTTTCGTACATTCTATGATGATCCAGTTCCAATACCTTTTCGCGGGCTAGTGTAAACTAGTTGTTTTCTTCGCACCCGCTTCTGTGTCTTCAGGAGCGGTTCTAGGTCTTTGGTTGGATTCTGATGCAGTAGGTCTACCTACTGGACTGCTGTGGCTCTAGTTAGCCCTCCGGGTGGTTTGGTGTTGTTTAAATTTGTAGGAAGTGTGCGGCCTTTTCTCAAGCACTGTGATGTAGATGGGTTCCTCAAACGTCGTGCCAGCATACAACTGATTGGGCTAGTTGTAAAAAGAAGACAGAAAATATGTCCAGAGGAATCCTTGTAGAGAAAGTGCGGAGAGAAAGAGATGATAGAAAAAAGAATGGGTAAAAGTAAACGGAAGGGAAGAACAAGCCCCAGTGGATTCATGGGGCAGGGGTTATAGGGAGAGCTTTTAGGAAAGCGTGGAGACGTAAAGCCAGTCGGAAGGGAAGGGGCGAATAACATTATAGGACGGCCTGTGTGAATAGAGATAGTTCTGTCAGTAGGAGATGGGAACTGGAGGAGATGTCTATAGGGAAGTATAAGGTTGAGCCAGGTTCGCAGTGGTGGTGGTTTTACAAGGTATTCGGTGGTGGGTTACCCGTTAGTAGGCCGCACTAGCCTAGTCCATATCTCAGCTAGATGAGCACTAACCGTGCGTCACTGCGTAACTGTCCAACCTCTCCTTGAAGCTGTCAACAGACGGAGCAGTAGTAATCTCGACAGGCAATGGGTTAAGGTGGCCACAAACTAGTGGAGAGAAAAACAGTGAATGCACACGGGTTTCCGCCCATTGATGAGCGAGTCTTCCTGAGGTACCACAAGGATCGCCACGGTGTCCTTTCGGTAGGGTTCGACTTTTCGAATGACTTGGGTTGCCTAGTAGTTTGCAAGCCGTTATCAAGTCACCGCGTAATCTACGATAGCTTAGAGAGGGCAGTCCTAAACCTTTTGGCTCGTCCTTATAGGGTTTTCGCCTCATTCCCGCAACACTCGTTGTTGTTCAC